ACCGTGCCGGACACCGGGGGCTCCGGGTCGCACCGGGGCGGGGAGCGGCCGCTCATCGCCACCGGGGATGCAGGTAGGAACCGGCAATCCCTTGCCTGGGCCCTCATCCTCCCTCCTCTCGGTCCCCCCGGGCTTTCTCCCCCTCCATTCGAGGTAGAAGCTCATACCCCGGCTCAAAGGTGACCCCCACCCAGCCACCCACCCCGACTCCAAACGGCCTCGGGGCTTCGTCCCCCAACATTTGGGACTGAGCCAAAAGCTGCTCTCGCACCCCCAAAGAACTCTGGGGGTTCTTTGTCACCCTCCTTTTTTTCTGGGTTTCCAGCTCCAACCCCTCCAAAGGACAGTATTTCCTCTTGAAGCAGAGAAAAACTGTCTTGGAAACATGTGGAAGCAGATAAACCGGGGTAGAAGCGAGAATATAAAATCAGGATAAAGTAATATAAATTCAGAAGGTATCTCGTGGCCTAGGAAATCTTTAGGAGCAAGAAAAATACCAGATTTTTCCTGTTTTTACTGTGAATCTTGTTGTAGGAGAGTTGCACTGATGGGAGAATAAAATAACTTTTAGATGGTTCTAGACAAAATACACTGCTCATTTCTTTCACTTTTATTTTCCCTGTAGCTTATTGCTAAAAATGAATCTGAAAGACAGTTTGCACTGCTGCCAAGTCTGCTCAGAGTTTATTCTGGAGTCCCACTGGTTTCCTTGTGCAGTGTCATGGAGCTGAGTGCTTTGCAGAGACAACCAGCAGCCACCAAATTGTCCTTCTGCTGAGGGAAAGCCCTCACCAACCTGCTGCTACTCCCAGGGAAGCACTTTTCCCTGGAGGGATGCAGTGCATTCCTCCTGCCTCCCATTCTCCTGGCTTTGGGAACATCAGCTTTGCATTTAAGATGTTTCCAACCCTCACCACTGTGATATTCTTCACCTCTGATTTTTGGGGCACTCAGCTTGTCTACCCAGCACACACAGTTGAGGGGTGGCTGTTTTAACCACCTCCAAAAACCTGCCTGAGCCTGAAGTGCTCAGAGTTGGCAACTGCTTCAGAAAATACCATTTGCCAGCAAAATTGTTAGTTTTTCCATGGCTGAAGCTGAGAAATTCACATTAACAGATTTTTAAGGGAAAACATTATCTGCTTGGCTGCCAATAATATTCAAGATTTAAATGGGGTTGGAAACAGGATCTGAGATCCCTTGTGGCTCATGAGCTGTGGCTGAGAGAGAAAAATGATTGTTGAGAGGCTGGAGCTTGATGGCTGGTCAACAAGAGGGGTGGGATGGCCATTTCCCCTCATGCCCAAATGATGACTGGGGATAAAGCTGGAGATCTCCCTTCATGCAGGGTTTTAAAGACAAAATCAAAGCACTGTTGCCAGCTTGATTTCTCAACTCTAAATGATTGAAATGCTGTCCTAAAACCCCAGGCATCCAACGAGATGGAACTGGGAGCACAGGCACTGCAGGCTCTGCCAGTCTTTGGCTCCATCTCCTGCTTCCCTGCAGCCCACGGAGCAGTGAGGATGGATAATCTCCTTCCAGAGCCTGAAGGAGGGCAGATTCCTCTGCTGAAGAGCTGGAGAAAGAGAGGGGAATCTGAGCTGGGCAAACAGAGACTCATCTTGGGGCTGGGACAATGTATGGAAGAGCTGCAGACAGCACAGCACCCTGCTATGAGAAAACAGCTGGAAAATGTTGGAGCAGGCATCTCCAAAGCAAAGGCAGGGCCAGAGCTGGGAACTGACCCCACTGATGCATCTGATCTTTTTTCCCCCCAGGGCAAAGTGGCCATCAGCTCTTCCAGCCCTGTTGTGGCAGCTTCCTTACCATCCCCATCCCAGGCCAGACAGCCACTCGTCAGCACCGGGGAGATCTTCAAGCTTCCAGGCAGGCTGAGTGAGTAAAGTTGAGCAAGTCAAAGCTGCTTACAAAAGGACAGGGTGGGATATGGTGGGTGCAGCCACAGTGTCGCACCCAGGGACCATTCCCTGCTGGCAAGAGGGACAAAGTGTCATCAGGGTCTATTTTCTCTCACTGGGGTGTTTTTGATCTGTGAGTGCTTAAGACAGAGGGAGAATTTGGTGATGGAGAAGAAATCCCACCCCGCCCCTCAGCAGTTTTGAGGATGAAGATAGAGCTGTTTCAGAGGTTGCTCCTGGTTTCAGGAATCCAGCCCTCACTGTGGAGCAAGGATGACGTGATCCACTGGCTCAGATGGGCTGAGAGGGAATATTCCCTTCGGCAAACTGACGACAGCAAGTTCGAGATGAACGGCAAAGCCCTGTGCATCCTCACCAAGGAGGACTTCAGACACAGAGCTCCCAGCTCAGGTTAGACCCAGGGCAAGGGGGTTTCAAGGATCATCCAAGCACAACCTGAGAGGGGCTGGATGGGTCCCAGCAGACCAGGCTTTAGCACTTTGGTGCTGGAGACAAGGACAATCCTCTTCCTTCCTTTACTCCACCTGCACTGCAAAAGGTTTGGGGTGGGGAATAACCTTGTTATTATGTTATGTTATGTTATGTTATGTTACAACCTCAGCAGCATCACCTTGAGAGAGACTGTTATCCAAAGTCCTCTGAGCAGAGTTTCCTTCCCTGTAGGTGATGTGCTGTATGAAATACTCTGCTTCATCAAGACTCAAAGAAGAGCTCTGATGTGCAGCCCTTTGCTGAACTCACCCTTTGGGAAGCCCAGGAGCACGGAGGAAGGTAGGATGGAGAACAGCAGCTGCCCAGCAAGCAGAACCTGCCCACAGCTCCAGTGGGTTGCAGACATCTGGGGTTTGGAGCTGAACCCATCCCACACCACCTGAGAGAGGCAGCCAGGTCCAACAAATTCCCACTGGGAAGGTTGTAGTGATGAAAGAGGTCTGGTCAGAATCAGACCCAAGCAGCACCAGAGGCAGGGGGGGCCCAGGTAGGGGTTGAGGTGGGGAGAGGTTGGTATCTGTGTCTGGCTGTGTGTGGAGGTGGATCCTGAGCACTTCTGCTGGCTGATGTAAAGTAATGAACATCTTAAGTCTCCACAACAATTTGCCAGGGGGTGCCAGTGCTCTGGTGCATCCTCCTGTTCCAGTTTTGCCTCTGTACCTGACCCTTACCCTGCTTGGCATCTCCTCTGACCCTCCTGGACTTTCTGCTGCTCCCGCCTTAGGAAAATCCCAGGCTTTCCTCAGCACCCTCCTCCTCTGCTAGGGCTCTGCCAGGCTGATAACCACCTTGGGCTGCCCCTCCCCTCCTGTTTCACGGCTTTGGAAGATCTGGTACCTGCCCTGATGTGCCACAGGGTGTTTATTTGGCTTTTTTTTTTTTTTTTTAATTATTATTTCCAGGGACAGACTGCAGTGCTGAGGCTTCCCCAGTTGTTCCCTCATGGCTGGGCTGTGCAGAGCAGCCTGTGTTCCACAGCCATGTGGAGCCACTGAACCTGTCCCATCACAGCTCAGAGAGTGGCTGCAGGGCAGGTGCCATCTGCTCCTCGCCCACAACCCCGTCAGCCCCGCTGGATGGGAAAATGGCAGGTAATTATGAATTTATAGCCTGGCTCCTTGGGGAAATGACAGATGCTTTGTCCTGTCTGCCCAGCTGTCTCTCCCCCTCCCTTTTATTTCGTGCTTCCCCACCTCAGTTTCCCCCCTCCCACCCTGTAGTTCAGGCTCGTGCTTTGAGATCTCGCAGTGAAAGTGCTCTGGGCTCTTCTTCCATTTACTGTCACCGCTGCCACGTGCAGTCCCGTTGCTGATACACCCCTGCTGGAGCCACAGTGGGAGCTCTGTGACCATTTATCCCCCTCCCCACTGCTCAGACTGCAGGTTGCTGTGGGAATACGTGTACCAGCTCCTCTCC